ATGGATGCCCAAGGAAGCCAGCCGCCTCCGACACAACCTTAGATGCCAAAGTCACCATGAGTCACATTTTTGGAAACGATGCGTGTTATGGATGCACTTGGTGGAGATTTTTTTGCTATGTGACTCGTGGTCTATGTCCACCCTGTCTACCTTTCGGATTAGTTTTAGTAGCTGGATGTTAGTAGATGGATGTTAGGATGGTTTACATTGGATGTAATGTAAATTCTGAATGTTAGTAGATGGATGTTAGGATGGCAAACAATGGATGTAATTAAGGGTATCTCCTTTGGTTGTTAAGTCCTGCCTTGTTAAATAGACGCATCAGGTTATGAATGTTAAGGTTTGCCAATTCAATACATAAACACTAGCTTGCCAATTCAATTCATAAACACTAGCTTGCCAAATTCATAAACACTACATAGCTTGCGAGAAACCCATTACTTGTCATAACAATACACAACACTAATTTAGAACACATCATCCTAAATCATACTAATAGCTAGACTTGGCCAACACTATGGCAAGTAACACTACATTCAACAAAATAACAGCGGTGAACATATGTCGAATGACACGAACATCATTGTTAACCTTCCTCGGCTCTTGGACGACAATTTTTCTCTCCTTCTTCCTCCTCTCTGCCTTAGCCTCAGCCAACCGTAACTTCTCTTGTAGATTAAGAATTGTACTGTCTATGCCAGAGTTCCTTGCATCGACTTCATCCACCGCCCCATCCACCCACCTAAAAAATTTGTAGTTCTTTTTTGGTTCCTGCATCAACAGAGTGTATGGTTCACAAATCTCAAACATACACAACTGGAAAATGATTCTCGCAACCTCCTTTACCATCCAGAACTTGCATCCGTAGAATCTCCTTCCTGAGTTGGACTCAGTACCGGCTCTATTAGTCACAGCAGGAACATTGTGGTAGCAACAGACTACCCCAATGCTGTTCTCGCTTCTGGAAGATGACCCACCCCGGTGAGACATGACGAAGACGAGGACGGCGCGGAACGAGGAGAAGGGGTCTTCGCGGATCTGCGGCGGTCGTGGGTGGCGAGTAACAGTGAAGACGAGGAAGGGGTCGTCGCGGCGGTCGGCGCGAAAGGAAAGGGAGGCGGCGGGGGGGTCTTCGTTCGAGGCTGGGTCTTCGTGAGAGCAAATCGAAAGCTGGGTCGGCGCGAAAGGAAAGGGAGGCGGCGGGTGGGTCTTCGTTCGAGGCTGGGTTGGCGCGAAATGAAAGGGAGGCGGCGGAGCGGGGGACGTCGTCGACGGGTGCGGCGGAGCGGGGGAAGTCGTCGACGAGTGAGGCGGAGCGGGGGAAGTCGTTGACGGAGCTGCTTTAATCGGCGGAGCTTGGTTCGTCGCGAAGAGCAGCTGATGGGAAACCCTAAATGGGTTTGAATTGGGGAACTGAAAGATTAAAGTGACAAATTTTTTTTTTTTACCCATTAAAAATGACGTGGCATCCCACCTGTCAATACATGCTGAGGTGGGAAGGAAACACACGGTGAGGTGGCAGCCACATCATCTGTCCGTTAAAAAGACTAACGGTGTCATTGACGCCGTCAAACTATTTAACGGAAATGGCTATATTTTTCATCGAAATTTCAAAATCCTGGCTATTTCTGGTATTTCGCCAAAAGTGGCTATATTTGTTACAAGCCTCAAAGTTTTGGCTATGCAAGTGAATTTGGCCTTTTGGTTACAAGGTTACGATTTTAAAACCGTGGTTCGGGATGGTATATATTGAAACCAACCCTAACCTATTGTCTAAAGCGACTCCCTTAAGACATCCAATTTGCTTAGATGGAGAAGAATGAGGGATAAGGAGCTCAAGATAGGGTGCATAACCCATGGTTATGCACCCATCAATAACCAAATCTGGACCCTTCATTTAGAAAATCCAGATCTAAGGATGGAGAATTAAAGGTCATTTTTATTTTCACTAGCTTTCTTAATTGACTCATATCTTTTTCGTTTTAACTCGGATTTTAATTTTTTTTGCACAGATGGAACGAGTTCATCGTGCTCTACAAAATGAGATCAATTTTCAATATTTTTTTAGGGAAAAAAAATTTTGGCCTCTCGGTACCAACTGCATACCATATGGTATCTTCTTCGTTTTTCATTCGTTTTTGAAAACGTTTGCATAGCAGGGACGAGTTCATCATGATCTATTGGATCTACAAATTTCTGGGTGAAAAAATTACAAGACCAAAAAATACCACCAAATACCATACAATACCACCCTGGTACGGGGTGGTATTTTATGGTATCTTATGGTATACAATGTTAAAAGTCGTAAATGACAATTAATATACTTCTACTATCATGTATTCAATCATCCTACAGTCTTGGTTTGTTCATACCACCATGGTACGCTTTTCAAACCATAGGTATGCTCTTATTTCAATACCAGTCAATACCATATGGTATAGACTGGTAAAAAATGGCTCAATTTTTTTTTGTTCGAAAAATATATCAAAGTGGATATCATTTTGAAGAGCACAATTAATCTGATCTAACTGTGCAAAAAAAAATTAAATTTCGACTTAAAATGAGTGAGAAATCGTCCGTCAAAGATTAAGGAGGGGAAAATTAAAGGTTTTCCAGGAGAGAGAGGATGATGATGTCATGCTGATGTGGGCGGGTTACTCATAGTTACTCACCGTAAGGTTACTGACCTGATCCATTCCCGGATAAGGGTAAGATCATTTGTTTTTTCATAGGGTGGATTAGAGTTCCGGTCAGGTCGGGTTGGTTGGTTAAATTTTATGGTTAGATGAATTATTTATCAATATTTTTGTGATATGGAATGTTGATTAGGTAAAGTTAACATAATTTTGGATGAAAATAGACAATGTCCATTTTATTATTCGTCTAAATGTATTTTATCGAAACGTGCAAAATTAAAAATTGGTGACGATTTTATACTAATAATAAGTTATGTAAGCATTTATGATAACTCATAATTAGTCTATTTCCCCCTATTATAAAAAAATATATATTTCCCCTTGAATAAAATAAGCATAAACGTGACTAATTCTTAGAAAATGGTTTGTTTACGGCGTTCCTTTTTCGATCCTGAGTTCATGAGATACGGGCCATTAGGAATGACAACAAAACCCGAACTCACGGGTACTCACCCGACCCAACCTGATCAATGCGGGTAAAATCTGTGTTGATAGGTTTTGGCCCGGGTTTGAGTTTAAACTCGTTAACTATCCATCGAGTTTGGTTGGGTTTGGGTTTAGGTGTACCCGACCCATGGATACCCGCCCACACGCATATAATCAATTTTCCCGGTATATCAAATATTATAAGCAATTAATCTTCTTTATGTTTGTGGAGACATATCTATTTTTTTCTTCTTCTAATTGTGTAGAATGAAGTTGATATTATCGAGTGTAGAGTGAAGAAACTTAATTGACGAGGAAGAAACTTCCAATTAATCATGTTGGTTATGTATAATTTTTTATTTGCTTCAATTTTCTTTACAGCCTGTTTGGATAGACAAAAAACTCAGGAATTGGAATTCCATTTTCAATTCTAGTTCCAAATTTTATGTTTGGAAGGATAAGAAGGTTGAGAAATTAATTTCATTTGGGCTAAGTTTTGGGAATTACAATTCATATCAAAAGTGATAGGAATTGGGTTTATGATGGTGGAATTAGTGGGTCTCATCACTATTTATTATTATTTTATTAACCAACTATCACCCTACTCTCTTTCTCTATCATTCATAATCCATTTTCCAAGATAAAACAAATATATTACATTATTAATTATTGTTAAAAGTACAATTCATTTCTATAGTTGAAGGAATTATGCCAAACACTGAAATTGAAAATGGAATTCTATAAAAATAGGAAATGGAAATAGAATTCCATTTTCATTTATTCCTGAATTGTATACAAACATGCTATTAGTTTTTTAGATTGGTGTTGAACAATTTGTATGGTTTATTTGGAAATTGCTTGAATTTTCTAAAATGGTGTTTTATATATGGATTATTTGTATTGAGAGATTGATATTTGACTTTTATTTTGATAAAAACTTGTTATTGTAAATTTTTTACGACAAACCCATGGGTACCCATGAACCCGCGGATACCCAACGGGTTGGGTTGGGTTGGGTTTGAGTTTTCCAAATCCAATGGGTTTTACCCCGAATTGTTTTCACGGATAAACTCATGAGTTTATGTTTGGATTTTACAAAACCCGACCCAACCCGACCCATTGTCATCCCTATGGGCCATATGGCCCATGTGATGTTCTTTCTGGTAAGTGAAGAGTGAAGACTGAAGAGGACGATGTATTTCTTCATTATTTCTGCTTTGGCGTTTCTGATGAGTGATGACTGATGGAATGGACCGCATGCGCCGGTAGATGCGGCCCAGGTGATGAGAGGAAAGCGATGCTATGGGCCATAGTTCACCTGAGGAACTTGGCAGACCATATTGGCGAAACAAAACAAGACCTTACAGTCCCTACTTCAATGACTCACCTACTCTCTGGTTGTGGCTATTAGCAATTTGGTGTCTCGTCAAACACTCAAACTACTGTGTTCGATTAGCCACACGTGTTTATAACCGTTAGATTAACACGTAAATAAGAAGCGGAATTTGTTCGATCTAACAGCTAAACCGCACGGATTGGTTTGATATAATTAGAATGCACGGGGTAAGCATCAGATGACATTGTTTACCCCGCAACATGTTTGGATACAAGTGATGGATGGCGATATCCTTAGGGATGGTTCTGACTTCTGTGAGTGTAGACAATTGCAGCTGCGATATTGAAAGAGCCCAAAGTCTCAGGTGTTAAGTCATTGATTTATCGAACTAGGTGTTACCATATGCCAACAAGCCACATCACATCGCATTGGATGTGGGAAATGAAAGCAAATTAATTATACAAGTTATATAGAGTGGATTACACATTCTCAACCCACATTGTTGACTAACAAATCAAAGTCTCAAACATTCCAAAACTCCCAAGGAATTCAACACATGGATGATGAGTAATACATTAGTCAAAAAGAAAAAGGACTTTGCAGGCTTATACAAGAAATTGCAACTGCTATAAAGTCCTCATCAAAATATAAGTAGATAGATAAACTCGTGTAGCCACTAAAATCGGCTACAACTTGAGGTAAAAGAGACAAACTCAAGTCTTGGTTTGTCCATGGAAATGGGGAAAACGAAAAATCTAGTCACATAGCCCGAGAACATGATTGACGAACCATGACCCGACAAAGGGAACCATGTACAAAATGATCACCAATGGCTGCTAATAGATGCACAAAAAAACATACAGCTCTTTGATGATCAAGGGTGTCTACCTTTGTTGAGTAATTCATCAATCATGGCCATGACGGTTGCTATTATCTATGATAATAATTATTAGTTATGGCAACTCTCTTATGGTTATGGAGCATAAAGAATGCTCGATTCACTGAGTTCATGCCCATTGCCTTCTTCCAGCTTAAGAAAATTCTCCAACGATTTATTCATGGTTTTCTCCAATACCTCACCGTGAGTATCATCAATGTCGTTCTCTTCCTCGAACTCCCCATCAATCATCATCTCGTGTGAGCGACAACTTAAACTGCAAAAGGCCTTCTCACCTCTGAATGTGAAGACCAAACAAGATACAAAAGCTTCAATCCAAACAAATCCAACTTCAAGACTGTAAGAAATGCTGGAAGCTGAACTAATAGAAGAAAGTAAACAAACAAGACTGACCTGTAAATATAGATATCCTTCCCCTCTTCCAGCTCCTTGTTGCAATAGTGACAGAAACTCAAAAAGTGATCAGAGGGGAATGAAGCTGGATTATTGCTGTGCTTAGCATCCCAGGAGCGCAATCCAAATTCCTTCCTTCCATTGTTGCCAAAATTGCTCAAGTCATCCAAGTGACATTCTAAAACACAGTCACCATAGATATGAGTCTTCTTTGGGTTGGGGCCATGTGAAATAACACATGTATAATCCTCTGAGAGCTCAATCTCACTGGCTGAGAGAGTGCTAATTGCATAACTAGATTTCACACTCGAGCTCGCTCCAATGATTACAGGAGGAGGATTCAGTTGGGCAGTAGTTAAATTAGACAAACGAGAAACTCCAGAACTGGGTTTCAACTTCTGGCCATTCATAGACGACAGGTTTGGATAAGAAGATCTACAAGAATCCAATGAATAAGACCTGACTCCTGCAAAGGGTGGTTCAGGATCATCTATGGCTACTCCAATTTCGAAAAGAACATCAGAGCTGCCCTTATGAAGGGGAGATTTGGTGTGACTATTACGAGGAACTATAGCAAAATTTCTTGGAAGTGACTTGGCTGCCTCAACAGGACTATCTGTATGACTATTAGTGTTTGATGCCTTGCTTCTCACCCCTGGGCCAAAAATAATGTTTCTACTCTCAGATGGACGAGGAACTTTGCCAGAGGTATTGATAAGATCATCATCAAGGGTATCTACAATGCTTAGGCCGAGTCTACTACGGTCCCAGCTCTTCTGATGGGGTGACCTTGGGGAGCTAAAAGGTGGATTTGCTCCTACAGTTGGAAGCAGCTTGAAATCTAAAGGTGATGTTGGGCTCTTCACAGAGTCACAATCAGACAATCCCTTAGGGGTAAATCCAACAAACAGTCTAGGGACACTGAACAAAGAACTTGTCTTGTGGCTTTCAGACCGGCAGTAGGATTCAGAGCCAGAATCAGGTACTCTAAGCAGACCCATTTGAGGTTGATCTTTGTGGACTGACCTTGTTCTTTTCCTCAACATTACCTCAAAGGAGAAACACCCAAAACCTCCTTTATTCTCTGAAACACAAAACCATCGGATTCGCAGTTAGAAACAGCCTTTAACCCAGATCAATATCAAGCAACAGGCTGCCTTGTTAAAAGAAACAGCAAGTAAACATGATCGGAGCTCTTAGATGAAAAAGATAGGAAATGAAAAGCAGGGAACTTGAAAGAACCCCGAAGAACAATAAAGGTACAAGCTTTATCGACTGGGAAAATAGGAGGGGGAAGCTACAATATTTCTGAAGCTTCAATCTGTTCTAGACTACCGACACTCACTCTAAATGGTAAAGCTAACATTACCCAGATTAGGTGAATCTCACAAAATGCAAGACCCAGAAACCGAGAAGGAGAAATAGATGAACCAATAACACCTCCCCGCAAAATGAAAATACCCTAATGAAACAACACAAACATCAAAGATTCTTCTGCGAGACAATGCATCAAACACCTAGCAGACCTAAAAGCACAAAAATGGGGAAACAAATGAGAGCAGAATCCTAGAGCAAAAAAGAAGGGGCAAATCAATCAATCGCCCTCACACCCACCTAACTTTTCTTTCTTCCCTACTGATGAACGAAAACAGAAGTGTTTGGTGATGGGTTTTGGAGAAAAGGGGAGAAGAGATATGGAGGCTGGAGCCCTCAAATGCAGTAAAAAGGAAACAAAAGACAAAGGAGGAGCTTCCCCTCTTTGCCTCTGACTCTCTCCCTCTCTATAGTTGCGTGTTTGTGTGTTGAAACTTGCACAGTACTCCCTCTCCCTTTCTTAACCTTTCCTCCTTCTCTCTAGACTTCCATCTCTCTCTGGAGCGTTTGCCTCAAAATCAGCAAAGCAGTGAGCTTCAGAAATACTCCATTTTCTTACACACCAAAAAAAAAAACAAAAAAAAAAACACTCCATTTTCCTTTTCCCCCTTCATTTGGTTCTTTTCTTTTTCCTTTTTTCCTTTTTGGGCTTTTATTATTTTGCCCCCTTCTCGACTGTCCTGCTGCAATTTCTGAAGCTGCTAGAAGAAAGTCGGTGAGCTATGATGGATTTGTTCTGTTTGGTTGGTTGGTCTAATTAAATTCTACTAAAGTAATAAAGAGGGCTACTTTCATATATTATTTCTAATTTAATTCAATACGAAGGATTTTAGTAATAACTTTTACATTTGAAAACGTATTTAATCATGAATTAATATTTTAAAATGGTCTGAACTTGGTCAATTTTTTCAAAAATGTCTATCTTCGTCTGAACTATCATCTAAAATGACTGATTTTGCTCTAATCCGAGTGTTGACTGTTAAGTTGAACAGTTAAAATCGATTACTAATGATCAACCCGCTATGTCACTATCTTGTCGGCACAAACTAAAAAAATTCGGACAATTCGCATAATCTCCAATTTCAATTTAATACAATTGAAATAAAATTTAAAACAACAAAAATAAGAAAAACAACAAAAATCCGAATTACGACCGCCACTCCTGAAACCTACTGCAGCTGCCATCACCCATCGGGTTGGGAGTTCCTCTTCTTCTTCATCTCTTCCTCCTGACCTTGGACCTTGCATAGCTCCGCCAAATCTTCGGCAATCTTAATTGTTCAAATATAAAAACAATTTAACTTTTTTTATGTTGACATGGTGGGTTGATCGCCCAACATAATGATCAACACTTGAATTAAGTCAAATCAATCATTTTGAGTGATAATTCATATCAGAATATGCATTTTGTACAAGATTGTGCGAATTTGCTCGACATCACGGTCCAGAAAGGATGTTCACGACCGTCAAAAGGGACCGTGAACTAACCGCGACCTATGTATAAAAGGAGGGCTGAGCTAAATGATAGCATCGTATTTGCACGTGTTTTCACTATGGTTTCCTGTCCATTTTGGCTCGAATTGATTGTTCCTTGGCCTATTTTACGCTAGGTTGTGTTGTTTTGTCGTATTTCAGGTCATAGCAAGTAAAGAGGTGCATAGGCGCAAGTTTCGGGTCATTTGGAGGTCAGATGGCGAATCACAGACAGAATTACGGGCAGCCCCTGCCAAATTACGGCCGTAATTGGCCAGGGCATGCCCGTAAATTAATGGCCGAGCCTTCTCCCCAGAATTTCCTCTCGGTGATAAAATTACGGGCAAGACCCCAAGAATTCCGACCGTAATTCCCAAATTACTGGCGGTAATTGGGAAATTGCGGGCGTATCTCCTCCTCTTGCAACTTAAGTGAAACGTGCGTTTTGGTGCGAATTACGGGCAGGACGTGATTACGGCCGTAATTCTGCCCGTAATTCGCCCAGAGTCGGGTTTTTGGAGGTAGATTCGAGCCAAGGAAGAGGAATTCGATTTTCTGAGCAACAAACAGAGTTTTAGAGAGAGAAAGAGCGAAGAACAAACCCTAGGAGCTATTTTGGAGTGGATTTCTCATCATTGAAGCCCATATTGCGTCCCTAGGAGTGAAGATTGACATCCCAGAGCAGATTTTCCTCATCTTTATGAGTATGACTACTCTGAGTTCTGTTTTCCTTTCTCTCTCTATGGAGTAGAACCTTTCTCTCACTCGGGTATGAAGAACCCTAGTTCCTTTTGTTAGGGATTTGATTGTAATGACTTGGGATGATATTATTGTTTGATTTTAATCGAATGATGCATGTTTATTGAATTGATTGGAGTCTGATCAGCTTTTCTCAATTTCTGCTGCAACCTGAGATAGATAGAATCTGATTAGGTTGTTAGAGCTTCTTCATTCGATAGTAGGAGATTGGCTATACGAGAGTTAGCCAGTTTACTGCTTTGTACTGGAACTCAATTCCAGTAGTGGAGTTCTGTGCTTACTGCTTCAGCTTTCTATCCCGGTGAAGACTAGTCGTCTGCTGGGTAGTTAGACTGAGAGGGCTTGGTCAGCTTAAGAGATTCCAAGCTACTGTCGGATCTTCCGCAGTCTAATCAACAGTAAATCAACCCAGGGAATTACAATTGAACCTGAATAAGGGGCTAGGGGGACTCATTCCCGAGTGACTCTTACCTGCTTTAGAAAATCGAACAATTTACTGCTTTCTTACTGCTTTTGCTTTTAAACAACAATCACTCGAATTAGTTTGCTAGATAATAGAGAATCACGGAGTAAGCAGTAGATCTAGACCCCGGGTTGATAATATAACTTGCCTGTTACTGCATTCCCGGACTGTGATTACACTTGGTCGTAGTTTGGTGTTGTGTTTTGGCGTGTCAAGTTTTTGGCGCCGTTGCCGGGGACCCTCTAGGTTATTGGGGAAACGTGAGAATCTGTTACTCTAGCTTTTTCTTTATTGCATTTTTCTCTTCCACCTGTGTGCCTTCACGGGTTGTTTCTGCTGACTGTGTGCAGGTAGTGCATGACCCGTAGCCAGTCGGGAGAACTACTACCATTAGACCAGGAGCTTGAACGAACTTGCAGGAACTTCAAGCGGGCTCTAAAGGCACGACTGGCTGCGGAGGAGGAGCTATCACAGCTGCAGTTAGAAGAAGAAGAAGGCGAGATGGCTGATCCAGAGAACCGTGATGTGATCCCGGAGGAGCAGACCATGGGATCCTACTGGACCGCTAGGGCTGCAGACATGAGGTCACCCATTCAACACCCTCATGTCCCAGCCAACAATTTTGAGGTGAGCACATCAGTAATCACCATGCTGCGCGGTTCAGTGGTGTTCCGTGGTAAGGAGGGAGAGTGCCCTCGATCACATCTCAGGCGATTCCACGAACTCATTGATGGAATCAAGATCAATGGAGTACCAGCAGATGCCATCCAGCTGAGGTACTTTCCATTTACTCTGGAGGGGCAAGCCAAGGAGTTGCTAGACACTCGACCTCCGGGCTCCATTACCACGTTCTCCAACCTGGCGGACAAGTTCCTCACCCGCTACCATCCTCCCTCCAAGACAGCTGACATGCAGAAGCAAATTACACATTTTGCTCAGGATGAGGATGAGACCATCAGGAATGCTTGGGAGAGGTACAACAGTCTCTTCCTGAGGTGTCCAAATCATGGCTTCAATGACGCCTTCAAGGTGGGCACCTTCTATCACGCCCTCTTCCCGGAGGACAAGCAGCTGATCGATTCGGTCTGTGGCGGGAACATGCTGACCAAAACCCCGCCACAGCTGAATCAACTCTTTGAGGAGATGGCGGAGAACGGTTATGATTGGGGCACTGCCAGGAGGTCGAGGCGAGCACCCAGCCGAGGTGTACATTCTGTGGGAGCCCATCCCTCTGATTTGGTGCAGGTAGTATCGAAGCTGGTCTCAGCTATCGATCGTTCCGGGATGATTCCAGGGACCGGACAGCAGCAGGCGATGCTCTGCCACTGGTGCGAAAGCACCCATCATACGGTGGAAGACTGCCAGGCGATGAAGGAGTCAACCACACCCCAGGAGCAGGTGAACTTCATCAATAATGTCAGGCGCAACGACCCCTACAATAACACTTACAACGAGGGGTGGCGCCAGCATCCTAACTTCTCCTGGGGTGGGGCAAATTCCAGACCACCAGTCCCCAGGGACCGCCGGGTTTCCAGAAGCCACCATATCAGCCCAGACAGGGGCCATTCCAGCAGCAACAACAGTCTCTTTATCAGCCCATGCAAGGGCATGCTGCTCATTCACAGCCGCGACCTTTCCAGCAGCCAGGTGCAGCCCCTGCTGCCCCAGTGCAGAATGATCATATGGCTGAACTGCGGGACTTGGTGGGTTCTCTCGCCAGTTGTAGTGCTCAGAAATTCAACACCATTGAGCAGTTCATGGAGAAGGCCTCGGGAAAATTCCTGGCTCTTGAAGCTGGTCAGAGGAACACACAGGCTGTGTTGCAGGATATCCAGACCCAGCTGGGGAGCGTGGCTCAGGCAGTGGCTCAAAGGGCTCCCGGTACTCTACCCGGGCAGACCATCCCTCATCCGCCGACACCGAATGAGCACTGCAATGCCATCATGACCAGGAGTGGCAAGATGACTGTTGATCCACCTGTTCGGGAACAGGAGAGAGAGACCCCTGCCTCGGCATCTCCAGCAGCTGAAGAAGAAGTAGAGAAGGAGGTTGAGGTGCCTGCACCTACACCGCAACCAGTAGTGAAGGAGTATATCAAGGAGGAGTGGCGGCCGAAACTGCAGGCAGCCAAGCCTGCTCGAAAGAAAGCCGGAGACCACTATGAGCTGGTCCCGCCCCCACCTTGGCCATCCGAGTATTCACTCGCTTGCATCTTACCGGATGGCCAAGTCGAGTTGGCAAATGCTGGTGGTCACATTCGTCGCGTGCATGGCCATCATTTGAAGCTGTACCTCAAGAGCGATGTGGATCCGCTCTTGAAGGCACCTGATCCTACACTTCCCTGAGCATCCATACTGGCGTCCAGCTAAAAGACGGTAAAGAAGCGCTTGTGGGGAGGCAACCCCACCACGGTTTGCATTGCTATCCTTTTTCCTTTTTAATTTTTGTCGTTTTCGAGTCATTGAGTCTGTCTGGAGTCTTTCTGGAATGTTTCTCGTGCCCCGGATGGTCTATTTTGGTCTATGGTGGTGTATTTTTTGAACCGGGGCACGTTTGGGTTTGGATGTTCGAATTTGCAGCTTAAAAACTGGAGAAAAAGGGCTCTCGACAGTAAAATTACGGGCATGGGGGGAGTAATTACGGTCGTAATTCATCTACCCCCTGCCCGTAATTAATTCAGAACAGGAAAACTGAGAAAAGGGCTCGGCATAGAAATTACGGGCAATGGGGTAAGAATTACGGTCGTAATTTTAACCACCCCTGCCCGTAATTCGATCAGAGGGGGTAATTTGCTCTCGGCCTTAAAATTACGGGCAAGGCCCGAGCCTCGTTTAAAAAGTGGCGGCCGAGA